CCCTCCCATGTGGGAATAGGATTTGGGAATCCTAAATATAAGAATTACTTACTCTCTGAGGCACAGCATATTGTTACACTAAGAAATGTAATTTAATTTCAAAGCGAAATTTCACAACTGCTGAGAAAAATTATTTTATGTATGAATAGCTTATATTACTGTTGATAAGACCATCCCATTGATTTTCTTTCTGAAATTCAAAATGGAAACAAAGTAAAGCATAGCACCTTTAACTGGGTTTGTGTTCTGCCAAGAAAAGTCAGAGATTTAACAGAAAAATAGACAGAGGCATGGGAAAGATCCAAATTCTTCCTACAGAGTTTATTTAGGCAATATATTACCTGACAGGGCAACATTAGAAACTATTCAATTGTTCACAAGTGCACCTGTTTCAAGACTAGTGTTTACAGCAATGCTGTTGTACCTTATCTCTTAATGTTTATTCATATGATTCTAGCAAAGTTGTTAAGGACAAGAGTGGCAGAAAGAAAAAAAAAAGGCTTTAAAGATGGAAATACTGGGAAGAAGATGAGAGAAATAGGCAGCTATGCCTTAATAAAAACAAGATGAGCTACTAACAAAAATATTAGCTTTTTTGGTCTTTTGACTTTGTCTAAATCTTTCAAAAATGATGTCTACCTCTCTACTTCAATAGAGCATATCAGATATGATACGATCATTATTTTCATTGCTCATTACTTCCTATACCTAGTTCAGTGGTTAAGTCAGTTCCTAGCTTTGGTATGATTTCATCTGCTGGTTTAAAATAAAAATGCATTTGAATTATTCATTTACTCATTCCACAAATACTTACTGAAATATGGTCTAAGCATGGAGGATGTTGGAAGAATACATCTTTTGCTCCAAAATAATCACCCTCAAAGGTCAATACATTGGTCAACAGGTGCAAAGTTAGGTAGGTAGGAGAAATAAGTTCTGGTGTTCTATTACACAGTAGGGCGACTATGGTTAACAATATTGCATGTGAGTTCTGTCTGGAAAGTATCCAGCCATTGTGAATATGGACAGCTTTTGTATATCAATATAGCTAGAGGAGGGAATTTTGAATATTCCCGTCACGAAAAAAAATGATAAATGTATGACATGATAAGTATGCTAAATACTCTGCTTTGATTTTTTACACAATGTATACATGTATCAAAGTATCACACTGTACCCATAAATATGTACAATTATGTGTCAATTCAAAACAAAAACAAAAGTCAACAGAAGATGCCAGAAAAATGACAATTATAAGAAAGTTTGTTTTGATATAATAGTAAATAATCATTAACAAAGATGCATATATTTGAGCCATTTGATGTATTAATATAAAATAATACAAATCTTCACAATCCATTCAATATTACCAAGTATCCATATTGTGTTTTCTGTAAAATAGAGAATATGTTTATATTTTATATTAGTCTGTTTAATGAATTTTTTGCCAGTTTTGCCAATTTTATGCCAGTTTTATGGAATCTCTCTGATTAAAGGGAGTTAATAGCAAATTAAACAAGTAGTAGAAAATGCAAGATGAAGTACACTTAAACCAAGGTTAATTTCAGACTCTATTAGATGCCCCCCCACAAAAAAAGTTCTTCCATGTGGTGGCAATATGGTGGATTTTACAAAGATTTTAATCTTCCTTTATCCTAAACCCAGACACTCAGGGATATAAGGAATTTCGGGGAAAAATGACTTTACATTATTTGAAAAGCTTTGCCTGTACTAATATATAACTCTAACAAGTAAGGGACATCTCTGCCTGAATCCTTTCAAAGAAATTCCTAAAATGGCATGAAAAGAATCTGTGACCTCATTATAGCTCTGTTCACCGCAGAGAAAAATTATACACAAGGCCAGTCCATCTTGATCCCTAAAGGAAACACAAAGGCACCAGGATAGTAAGCATTGTTCTGTGATGTGTCTCTAGGGTGCTCAGTACGTACGTGTTTGTATGTCTCTCTGTATTTTGGTCCCCTTTTTTTTAACCCAAAATAAATATTTAAGAAAAAGCTCAAAAGCTTTAAGCTTTTTCTTAAAGGTCAACTGTTTTCTTAAATTCAGAATAGCTTTGCACAAGCATATTATTTAGGTAAATTAGGTCCCCAAACACACTTTACCTTTGCTGATGAAAATAATTTAGGGTAAAGAAGGTAGTTTTATGCCTCTACACATTAATTTAATACCTAGGTAACTGAGTTTATAATATCTTCATTGGTCTCAATTAAGTGAATGTCATACCCACATTATTTGTCAACATTAAACACAGGACCTTGAACTTTTTTTCTACTCTAAATTGTGAAACATTGATGATTTTATATTGAAGACAAACGTTGACACCAGTATGAAATAAAATTCAATTGCATCATGCACCGAGGGTGTGATGTGGACCCAAGTTTCCACTCACCTTCAGTGTGGTTTGAATTTATTGATTTCTTTTAAAATCCTTATTAAAATAGCATCAATATAAAAAAGCACCTCCAAGGGTGCCTTTTCTGAAGAAACTTTCTTTCTTGACACCCCACCTTCTTCCCTACTAATGGGAAATGCAAAGTCTACCATACTGGGGTGGTTAAGAGTCTAAATGAAAGATGTGAATAGCTGAAACAATGGTTTCTCAGGAGGGGGAAAAAAATCTCCACTGCAGTTCAAATAAATAACTGGACTTCCATTATTCATTAGCAAAAAGGAAAGTCACCTACATGTCTGAGCAACAGGAGAAAAGACCCAAGAATGTTCCTAAAGGAGGAATATTCAGCAAACATTGTAGGCGCCATATTGTAACACCATTGTGCTCCTGAAATAAGGTGGGATCAGGGCACTGACTGGGCAGTGATTTGTATGAGAGCTCAGGGATCCTTATGGCCTGTGGGTCACAAACTGGAGGACCAAGCAGAAGGGACTGTCAGATTAAGCAACAGGCCAGATGTGAAAATCGACTAAAATCGCCTTGTTATCTTCTGGTACACCTTTGATACTCTTTCTTCCATTTGCTCCTGAAATTGAATGTCTCGTGACTCCATCCTTCAACAAAGCCTGAACCCAGATTCTTTATTCAACCAATGTCTAAATGATCACCTTCAATTTTTGCATTATTACTGTTCTTACTGAAAAGGTGTAAGAAGGAACTGACTAGATATTTTTCTATAAGCACAGTGACTCTGGCTGTTGGGTGGGGAATCGATTGAATAGGACGAGAACAGAAATGAGAAGATAAGAGCATCATGGGAGATGGGTGACAGGAAGACGTGGTGACTGTGACTTGGACTAGGGTGATGTTTTGACATAAAGAGAAATGAAGATATTAGAGCACATTCTTTTGTGGCTGCACAAAAGAATTGTTGGGGGAGCTTTGCAAAAAATTCTGCAGCCTGAGCTCCACCCTCAGGTGTTGACTTAATTTTCTGGGGAGACGCCTGAGCACCAGCATCTTTTCACAGTGAGAGCCCAGTCCCACCGGCTATGGAGGGCTTGATGGGTTAGGTGTGGAGAGGTCAAGAAGAGGGAAGTATCTTGTATGGCAACTAGATTTCTGGCCATTTACAGAGAAAAAGAAGACTGGGAGCCCAGATTTTCATGTGAACTGTCCTGATTTTTATTTGGCAATTTTTAAAACAACATAAATATCAGTTTTGTGCAGGCCAAAATAACTATAAAATAAACTAAAATGGATCTGACATGTAGGTGATTAGTTGCAACTTGTGCCTTAAATCAGAGCGGTTAAACTCTAATTATGGATTTTGGACTCTTACAGAATGTACTGGTGAAACTCTTTGAAGAACCTTAGAAACACATCCATTAGCCACTTGACACCTCACCAAGAATAAAGGTTACTTGATTTACTTGGGGCATTGCATTTTTGGGTTAATTTATTTACTCTCCTTCTTCTTTCCTTTCTTCCTTTCCTCCCTCCTTCCTGGCTTCCTCCTTTTCAGATTTAAATAGCACTCTTCCTAAGGAAGTACAAAAACATTCCCAAGGTCATTGTTAAGTAATTAGAGTTAGGTCTTGAATTCACAGCTGATTAATTCTCAAGCCTATGCTATATCCCAAGCTCAGTTTTCAGATTTTTTTTTTTTTTGGCATATGGAAGGAGGAACAGAGGAGTCTTTATATATAGTATTCCTTTTGAAAACACAATTTATATAGATAAGGCACTTTTCTAAGTATAATAAAGTATCCCTTAGTCACAGCATACAATATATACAAACACACACACGTATTATGTAATAATAGGTATAGTGATATGTCTATGTCTGTATCTCTATCTATTTATCTGTTCATCTATCGTTTGTCTGTTTCATGTACTCACACAGTACTCATTCAAGTAAGTCTGAATTGGACAGACTCAAGAGCTAGAAGGCTTATATATTGTGAGAATATAATTTGAGAATATTTGTTTCGAGAGGATTCATTAAACAATATTGTCAAATACTGTATTTTTATTTTTATGTAATATTTATATCATTATATACCAAGGGAATAACTGTCACAAAATCTGAGAGATCAAGCAATCATTGATTAACTCATGTGTGTAGTCATTTAGCCTACAATTTAGTTACTTACTTTTCTCTAAGCCTGAACTAGTTTTGGGGGGTGGAGGTGAAAGAGGTGATATTTTTTCTGTTAGAATTTTTAACATAGCTACTACATTTATATAAATGCCAGAGTACAAATTTTATTTCATATATCTGATTTCCATAGAGCAGCAGATAAATCATACTATTTTCAGATTCATATGAGCATACAATTTCCCCCCTGTCTTAAAATGGCTATGTTCTTAATTTGAGTTTATCACAAAACAAAGAAAATGAAGTGGTCTTCAGGAGTTTTACACACATATTTTTAAGTAGAAAAGACAAAGGTCATCTTTGACACATGAGCTTAAGTCTTCAGAACAGATTCCATTCTTGGTAGTCAGCTGGAATAGATATACATCCATAGTTATGATTCAAAATGGGGGGGGGTAAGCATATATTGGAAGTTTTACATACCTGTTCCAGGTAGGATCATCAAACCAATCTAATGTATCAAAGACTGTGCTGTTTGTTGAACTTTCCTTGTAGGAGGAAGCCAGGTGCTATGCCACCACAAAAGCTGAAAAATCAAACAAATAAGGAAAGGGTAAATAAATCTAAAGCAAGATAAGAGAATAAGTAGGATACTCAGATCACTAAATTGTGAGATGGGATATTAATTAAATGACAGATTTCAAAAATGGAGATTTATCCCAGCATTTTCCATACATGCTTCATGAAGACATCCTTTTAGTCTACATCTGTTAGCATCCTGCTGAATGAGTGATCCACAACAGTTACTGGGGAAATGACCCACTTGTGTGACCTACCTTCCCACACTGATGCCACATTGTGTGGTCTATGTCTTTTGGTCACATACTCTCAGTTTGAAACTTGCCATAATTAACAGTATTTTATAAGTTTTCCCCCAAAATACATATACATAACATACATATATTCATATTACATATAAATTACAAGGCCATATGCCAGTGCCTTGATTTTGGACTTCCCAGCCTTCAGAACTGTGAGCCAATAAATTGCTGCTAATTATAAATAACCCAGTCTGTGTCACTTTGTTATAGCCACACAAAACAGAGACACTGCTAAGCGTGAGCTTCCCCCACAAGTTTTATAGCAAATAATTTAAGAAACACTCACTTTACCAATTCAGCTTGTTATTTCATGGCAACAAGTATTTGACATTCACTCATCATTTCAGTCAATATTTACTGAGCAAATAATCTGAAGCAGGTATTGGGTTAGGAAAAGAAAAAAAGATAGGGCTTGGTTCCCGTCCTCCAAAAGCCAAGTTTTGTCACGTGGGAGAGGCCAAGTTGGAGCAGATCACCCCAATACAGGGCATGGGGAGCTAAATAACTGCCAGTCCAGAGAAGATACAGGACAAGATGGTGATGCCACAGAGAAGAGGGCCTTTAAGTTGAGTTTGAATGCTACATAGGAGAGGGAGAGTGAAAGACACACAAACACAGGAAGATGGGGGCAAGGAGGAAGGAGAAAGAGATTCAGGCAGCATGGTCCAGTGCAAGAAGCTGAGGCAACATGGGATGTTCTGAAAGCTGCATTAATGGGACTCACCACTGCTACAAATGACATGGCAAAACATCCTTTTACAGATTTAAATTATTGCAAATCAGCCTTACAGCACAGATAAAAGCACAAACCCCAAGAATTTCACAGAACTTGAAGCTCTTTCCAAAATCCTGTAAGCACATTATCTTATTTTGGCTTCACAATCTTTCTCCCAGGTGGGACAGTGTGACCTTAGCCGTACCATGTGTCAGGGGAAACTGAAGTTAAGGAACATGCCCAAGGCCACAGAGTGATGTGCAGACTGGGACTAGAGGCTGAAATTTGGGGGCCAGTCCTCCTTCTGCCACAAGGAGAGATATGATGCCAAGATCCTTGAAAAAGTACATGGGGCACAATGAGGAATGGGGTGTGGACATTATAGTCACTGTCCTATTTCATGACAGCAAGTGCTTTGCTGCTGTGTGCTACAAGGGGACTGGGCACAAGGGGACTGTTCCCACTCTCACCCTTCCTGTTTCCAGTTTGATGAATGGAAACATGTGGCAGAAACACAAGATGGTGATTAGGTCCACATTTTTCCACCCTGTCAGTTTCAATAATAGAGCTTTGTACAGCCTTACCGTGGACATATCTGGCTACTGTGTACTGACCAGCAACTACAGAAAACTTAGTAAATCTATCTGAATCCAGCTGTGAGTCTCAAATTTTCCTGCAGACTTAATTATTACATAATAATAATTATGTAATAATTATTACATAAACCTTATAGTTTCTGCCTCTGAAGTGCTTTAGATTTTAGCAACTTTACTGGTGCAATTTTGATGTGCATAAGTCAGACTGCCTTGTCCATCAGATGCCAAAGGAGGCTGGTACTCATTTGTTTTGTGGGAAGTGGGGACAGTGGCCATGGACACAGCACAAAGCAGACTTTCCCTGCAAAAATGAAGAAACCTTGTCAATGACACATCCAAGAGAAGACTCATGTAAGGAAAAAACAATCTAAAGGAGCCCTTGGAATTCTCCAGAGGATGCAAAATACAGTTGCTGGAGCTGGGAAGACTGCAGAGGATTTTCTCCTTTTCTACTTCCCTCTCTTCCCTTATTTTTCCTTTAAACTGGTGACATGGACCTACGTAGAATGCTTCTTGCTCAGTTCAATTTCTTGTCATGAAGGTGAGAGACTAGAAGATCTTTTGGTAGCCTCCAAATTGCCTTGCCTTATGAAAGAGGTATTTGCAATGCTTTTCCAATTGAGAAACTGTTTACTTGTTACAGGCTTTCCAATACCTTGTAACACAGTAGAAATCACTTTGACTTTAAAGAAGAGTGATTGCTTAAAAAGGCAGCTCCAACTACAAATTCTCTCAAGATAGAAACCAATTTCCAGGCCACAATGAGCAATAATGCTTAGAAAATGGACACCAGGTACGAGACAAAGTCCAAAAGGTGGCACCATTCCTATACATGATGATCTTGCAATGGATGCTTTTGTCTTGCAATTTCTCAACGAACTACACTTGTTACCACAAGAAGTAAGCTTACTGTTCTTGGATAGGATGTAGCAGATAAAAGGTTAACTAAGGTATTGCCTGAAACCAAATCAAAGAAGCAGCAAAACAAATAAAATAAATCTCAGAAACCCAATGGGGGAAAACTTGGATAAGGCTACACACAGCATGCTAGAATGAGCAATTTTTGGAAAAATGTTTATTTTGAGGATGTTTCCCATTTGGTTGTGTGAACACTTGGGGAAATTCATGAGGTCAACAGATCTGACTTTAGTGATTGCAATCTAATTCAGCACTTGCTGCACAGAGATCAGATCTCTAGAGAACACTGGCAACTGTCCCCTACAGAAATAAATTCTGAGAAAGCAGGATCTAGAAAACTTTGTACCAAAAGAACCTTAATGGGTAACCCATGCACGAAGTTGGGAGTTGGAGGGTTGGTAGATGAAACTAGAGAGGAAAAGACAGAGGGGCGAAGTGATAGTTTCCCATGGTCAGTAACATAGCAGGCATTGATTAAATCACCAAATCATTTATACAATCTTGTGAAATAGATATCACTGTTAACCAATTTACCAATGAAGAAACTATGTTTTTTTCAGAGCCAAATCCACTTAACATAGAACAGGAAATGGCTCAAGTTGAGATTTGAACCTATGCTTGTCTGATATGTGTTATTTCTCTAATTAAGGCACACTAATTCACAAACAGTGAGCAGTATATGCTTTTTATCTCAATAACAATCAAGAAAATAAATTCAAATCAAAACGAAAATGACATGGATTACATTAACTACAATTGTAAATAACAGAATAAAAATGAAGATGAGACTATTGGAAAAAGAACTAATAAATTCATATTTCTGGTGGCATTATAGATGTATACAGCCCATTGAATCACCAATCTGATTCATACCTGTATTGTCCTTAAATATATTCATATCCTTAGACCTAATAATCCCACTCATAAATTATCCCAAGGGAATTATTCAAATTTGGAAAATGGCATATTTTAAAAGAATGATCCTCATAGCATTCCATGTTGCATATCCTTTATTCAAAAATGCTAGAGACCAGAAGAAGTTCAGATTTCAGAGTTTTCAGAGTCTGGAATATGGAATATTTGTACTGGTTTAGCATCCCTGATCTGAAAACCTGAAATCTGAAATACTCCACCAAAAATTTCCTTTGAGCATCATGCCAGTTGCTCAAAAAGTTTCAGATTTCAGAGCATTTCAGATTTCAGATTTTCAGATTAGGGATATGCAATCTGTATTTATAATAGCTAATAATAGAATATATTTGTTTATACACAGGTAAGAATTTAAGAAAATGTTGGTATATTAATTTCATAGTATATCAGGTAGCCATTAAAGTAATATAATAAGTAGCAATATGGATAATGATAATAAAAGCAGAATATAAAATTGTATGTTCTGATTATAAATATATATATAAAATATATATATGACTAACTAACAGGGTGGTCAGAAAAAAGAAATTAGCTGTACTAGAGCAGACCAATTATAATGTATTAAAAATTGCACCCATTCTCCCAATATAATAGTAAACTATATTCATTTTTAAAAATAAACATTGAATAAAGATAAAGACACAGAAATATTAAAAAAAACCCACACTTGATATATGTAGGGTATGTGTTTACATGGTTAAATAATTTCTAGCATATACAATGTTGTTTTGTTATATCATTAACTATTTGATAGTAGAGACAGGGGGAAGGTGATACACTTAGTATATATAAACACATATGCACAGAATGATGACAATCCATTTCTTATAATAACAGTTCACGAAAAAATAAGATTACAATAACAGGAAAATCTGTTGACAGTATTGCTATTGTATTTGATTTTATTTTTTTGTGTATGAAAGAAAGTTTATTGAATTAGAAAACAAGGGAAGGCTTGATATGGCTAAGAAAATTGGCCTTGGAGCTGTCATTTTGTCCACCCAGCAGGGTGTATGGGACTCGTGACATTTTTTTGTTTTTGTTTCCATCCCCGTTCTGTGCAGGCTGGGAAGTGACGATGCCCGTTTTGAGGTGAGCATGGCCAATGACAGTTGCGAAGTGCACCGTTTCGATCCCAGCGTCAAGTGGGCTCATGTTCTGGAGGGTCAGCGCCTTTGGTAGCACTGTTTGTCCATCGACTGGCAGGGCCCCAATCCAGCTGTTGCCACCCCAAAACCCACATAGCAACTCCGGAAAACTGGGAAGCATTTTGAATGAATTTGGTCATCATAAGGTGAGATTTTTCATTTGATTTCATACTTAGATAAAGTGAACAAACCCACAAACTTTTTTAAAAATGCAAACCAAGGATAACAACATTGGCATTGGATAGTTGACGGTGTAGTTTTAATCTTACTAATCACTCAAAATTATTTATGGAGTCAACTCTGTAAACATAAAGATTTGGCAAAGATATGAATATTTAAATTGATTTGGAGATTTTGGTTATTGTTGAGTAATGCTGAAGTCCTGGCCAACACTGAGC